CTCCAGGTTGAGTTGTTGTTCAGCATCTTAGCTGTAGAGGGCAGTGTCACTGGCCCTCATATGTGGGATCCGAACCGGGGCCCTCTGGCGTCCCAAACCAGCTCTTAACCAACGCGCCACTCGGCGGGCTCTGTAGATATATTTTTTAAACCCTCCCACCTTCATGCTTCTTTTTTCTTTGTTTGTTGCTTCTCCTCTATCTGCTGTGTTCGTTTCTTCTGGTATTCCTTATTGCATCTCCTGAATCTAGAATTCACATTTCTTATGTGTTAGCTAGCTCTTCATTTCCTTATCCATTTCCTCTGAATTTTCGAATAATTTCTCTATTGATTCAGTTTTCTGAGTTTCACTACCTGTGTTTGTAGTTTAGAGTTTCGTAAACATTAGTTTTCATTTGAAAGCACCCATTCCTGATCTGATTGCTCCTTTTTTTCAGAGATATGGCATTACTGTAAATTTTGTTTGGAATTAAAATTAGAAATTAAAGTTTTCGCTTCTGCTCCAATTCCATAGAATGAGGTCCTTCTTTCAGAATACTCTTTCCCAAAGTTCACTGTTTTTTAAGGAATTTTTAAAAAGATTGGAGCACTGGCAAATATGGTAATCCATAATGAAAAAGAAAGCATACAAGTTTTCTTTTCTCCTGTAGCTTAATTCTTCTTGATTAGAAATTACTTGGTTACAGAGCATAGGAAAGACAGGGACATTCAATGTTTTGCTAAGTATTTGTTTTTAGCCAATTAATAAGCAAGCACCGGTGGATGCTGATTTTTTAGGTATTTTACTGTGGGGTTGAAAATTGCTCCCTGTAATCCTCAGCTAGGCCAAGCAAGTTTTTCCTCCATGTTCTCTGTGGCAGCTTGTAGCGATGTGGTGCATCACACCCTTTGTGTGGCCAAACCACTCCCAAGTGCCTTCCTTATTTAGTGAACTGTGGTGCAAGTGAGACAGAAAGCAAATGCTGCAATTTCCGTGCTTCCTGCCCAGCACCCAGATCCTTCCAGTTGCCTACTGCTCAGAGTCTGGGGGGGTCTTCATGAGCTCCGTTGGGGGGGTCCTGTGGACCTGCTTTTGCAGGTTTACTTTCACTGTTGGCTGGAATTGTGGGCTGGCTGACACTGGTTGCTACTGCCCTCAATCCCCATCTGCATTCTGTCTTCCCTGTTCTCCAGCCCTTAAAAATGTCTTCATTATTTCAGTAGAATTGGGGAAGAGAAACTCATATTGTAATCTTGAAATAGGAGTCCCCCTGCCACATGTGACCATTTGGTTCACTGTCAAAAATCTATAGGTTAGGGACAGCTGGTTAGCTCAGTTGGTTAGAGCGCGTTACTCACAACACCAAGGTTTCTGGTTTGATCCCCACGTGGGCCACTGAGATGCGCCCTCCACAACTAGATTGAAACAACTACTTGACTTGGATGGAGCTGATGGGTCCTGGAAAAACACACTGTTCCCCAATAAAATTTCTAAAAAAAAAAAAACCCACAAAACGTATAGGGTATGCAAGCTATTTCAATGTTAACCCAATTTTCTCCTCCCCTGCACCAAATGCCTTTCAAATATATATATATATATATATATATATATATATATATATATATATTTTAAACCATGCACACCCAAAGCAGGCTATTCTTATTGATTTAAAAGAAACCAGAATTGAGGGATGGGATTTAAAAATGGCTGTTAGTGGTTCTTGATCAAGGGAGAACTACCTGAAAACAGCCTCAAGAAAATGCACAAATAAGGCCCCCCCCAACAACAAAAAAAAGCAAAGTATGTAATATAGACCATAGTAACCAGCATTTTGTTCCCAAACCACAGTGCAAAACTGGGAAGCTAGGGCTGCGTCGCCTGACTTTTCCCACACTCTAGATTTCTTAATACTGGAATGTCAGGAAGGGTAGTCAAAAGCAAACCCACCACCACTGTTCAAGGACAAGTGACATGGTTTGACTGCTCAGAGAATCTGGAACTGGCAAACTAAAATCTAACTCACATATTACATACCCTATTAAAATCTTTGAAACCTCCAACAGAAACATCACCTGGGCAATGTCCTAGAAAAAGGCCAGAATGCCAAAGTTAAGTCAGGAAGTCTTTGGAGAAATGCAGGTGAGAGACAAATACTGGGTGTCCAGCACCCGGCAGCCCCCTACACGTGTGTGTGGAAAATTGAGCTAATCAATACCTAGAGAAATCATTATGCAGATAGTGGGATTCCAGATAATGTAGTTCTCACAGATACCTAATGACCAAAATGAGCACCATAATGAATCACTATTGTGGTAGCCAAATAGATTTGAAGTCATTTCCTATTTCAAAATACATCAGTTGTTTAAAAGGGAAAACCCAGGATGTGGGAAATGATGAGATGGGGAATAAGAAAAATACTTCACGTACTACTTATTTTTTTATTATTATTATTTTTAAGATTTTTATTGGGGGAGGGGAACAGCGCTGGGGAATCGGGGAAAGGGAACAGACAAGTTGCTGTCCTTTTGTTCCTCAGTCTAGTTGTGGAGGACGTCGCTTCACTGGCCCATGTTGGTATTATCATTGCACTCTTCCCGGATGAGGATCGGTCACCGGCCTCTGGCCGGACGCTCACAGCGGGTCACGGCAGCTCACGCTGGCTGCCAGCCATTCACGCCGGGCTGCCGGCCGCTCACAGTAGCTCTCGGCAGCCCACTGCAGCTTACGCCATCACCGGCAACTCATGGCAGCCCAGCTCCAGGTCGAGCTGCTGCTCACCGTCTTAGCTGTAGAAGGTGCAGTGTCACTGGCCCTAATGTGGGATCCAAACTGGGGTCGTGCTGCTCAGAGCTGGTGTCCCAAGCCAGCTCTTAACCAATGCGCCACTCGGTCGGCCCTTCATGTACTATTAAAGTTATCTTTGTTCTTTCAATACATTACTGTAAGATGTTGTGGAGGGTAACCAAATAGCTGGTGAGGGGGAAGTCTCCTTATAATTTCTGAACGAAAGGGGGGGCGATATATACAGAGGGAGCCAAAATATGTATACACATTTTAAGAAAGGAAAAAACTGTATTAAAATTGTAGTACTCAATATATACCGATAACAAAAGATGAATACAAGTCACGTTTGACTTCTGCGATTACAAGAGGTGCTCAAAGTGGTTTACCATCAGTGTAATTTTAAGTTTTTTATTTTAAAACGTATACTTTTTTTGGCATCGTGTGCACGCGCAGATGAAAGATGTAAGAGACATAACAATTTCAAGTGATCTGTTGAGACCCTAATTTAGATGTGCTTAGAAATTTGTGAGACTTCGAAATTGAACGCTAGATACTTGGCAATAAATTATTTTGTAAGATACAATGTGAGTATATGGTGCTTATTTACAGATGACTTGCTATGATGTCTTTGAGATTTGTTTCAAAATGGTGGTAGTGGATGAGAACATTGATAGAACTAAGATTGCTTATGTATGGTAATTTTGGGAGTTCTTTTTTTTTTAAGATTTTTATTGGGGAATTGGGGAATGGGAACAGCGCTGGGGAATTGGGGGAAGGGGAACAGACAAGTTGCTGTCTTTTGTTCTTCAGTCTAGTTGTGGAGGATGTTGCTTCACTGGCCCAAGTTGGCACCATCATTGCGCTCTTCCCAGGTGAGGCAGATCAGTCGCCGGCTTCTGGACGGCTGCTCACTGCAGCTGCTGGCCACTCACGTTGGCTGCTGGCTACACACAGTAGCCCATGGCAACCCACTGCGGCAGGGGCTGCAGCCTACGCCTCGCTGGCAAATCACAGCAGCCCAGCTCCAGGTTGAGCTGTTGTTCAGCATCTTAGGCAGCGTCACTGGCCCTCATATGTGGGATCCGAACCGGGGCTCTCTGGTGTCCCAAGCCAGTTCTTAACCAATGTGCCACTCGGCCGGCCCTTGGAAGTTATTAATTGGGGGCTCATTATACGATTATTCTGTACTTGTCTGTTTGCAAATTTTCATAGAGTAAAAGGTGTAGTGGAGATTATTTTGACTTTAAATATGCTTTAAATCACTGAAAAGGCTATCTACCAAAATTCATCTGTGGTGCAAAAGTTGGGAAGGTTGACTACAGACAGACCCTAGCAAAATGAGGTTCAGAGCCTCTGTGATTATGTGTCTTTGAAAAACTAGCTACAAATGATATAAAGGTGAAAAAAAGAAAATTACTTTCTTTTGTAAGTTAATATATTGAAGTGGAATAAAAATCCGTAAGTTTCTAACATTCCACCTTTTATATAAAACTTGCTTATACATACTTTAACCCAATTTTAAAAGTAAGAATAATGCACAGTTAATACCTTAAACCTAACATTACTACATGTTCTAATAGGGGAACAAAAATGTGATGAAACATTACGTTCTGACAGCCTATTTCAGTCCAGAAATATGAATGTTGGAACTAGGACAAGTTTGGTACTGTAAACCATTTCTAACAACACAGAAAAGATGCAGAATGTAATGTTTGCTTTTAGTTTATTAATTTATTTTGGAGGAATCGTTGACTTTCCGAATATGTAACTGTTTGGAGGTACGATGCATGCATAGCCTTTGAAAATGCCTTTGTACAATTTCACCTCAAAATAATTTGATTCACAGCATACACAGAAATCTAAGAGAAATGATATTTACAAGCTTTAATAAGTTTTTGCTGTTTTAATGAAGAAACTGATCAATTCTTTTACAGTAGGGAAAACATGGACATTGGGTGTCATTATAAATAAGAATTCAGAATTGTTCAGTCTCAAAGCAACTTTTCATGGCTTTAAAAATTAAAATTGTGTCATCGTTCTAATAATCTCTGAATGCCCAAGCCATGCAAAATCTACTTGTTTTAAATATTTGGGGATGCAAATAATATAGAAAAAAAAAAGCATGTCTGGTGAATGTGAAAACGTCATCATAATTAACTTTTACAATAAGAAAATACTGTTAATTCTTTCATGAAGATACAGTAGTGGTGCAACACAGACAGTGCCTAAAGTAACATTTCATTTGTCATTTGTCTTTCTCTACAGATAATACAGACACACACTGTAACATGTAACATGAACTCATTCAAAGTCTGAACAATGGTTACAATAAAAATAAATCAATTTTAACTATAAAGGGGGATATTTTCACATTCCAGGATACATCATTGATATTTTCAAAGGACAATTTTTCTATGCCTTATATTTTCATTTTTTTGCTTATACTGTCAAAGACATTACAATTACCTTTTAAAATACCATATAAAACTTGAGTTGCCACAGAAAGTTGGATATGAACCCTAGATAACTGGGACAAAGCAATAACAAAATAATTAAAAAGTACTAAAATTGAGACCAGCTCCTTAAAAATTATTAAACTGCTCATCACACATCCCATTTCTTTCAGGGAAATAAACAAATTAGCAACACTTTCCCCACCATTCTTAATCTGCTCTAAAACTACTTTTTTTACAATGCATTTCTTTGTTTCTTTAAAACCCCCTGCCTCTACACTCTCCCAAACAAAGTTATCACCATTCGAAACATCTTACAATGCTTTTTATTAATAGAAAGTCTCAGGCTTGTCTATTACCACTTTAAACTTTTAAGACCTACTCCCAAATTTAAGGGGCAGTGTACTTTAACAAAATGGTAAAGGTGCTTTCTTCTAAAGACCCAGTTCACAAAACAGTGAATTAATTTAAAATGTATAGTCAGGTCTGTATGTTACCAGATACATCAAACTAACAATGTTTTAAGAAAAAATAAGAAAACTTTTTACTAGAAAAAAGAACTGCACAACTGATCCGAAGAACATAGGCACCTCAGCAGACAGACCCCATCCAATTTGTATCCTACCATTTAATGGTCTGTACGTATCAGTCTGATTAGGAGTTCCTTTTGAAAAGGCACCTTGAAAGCTGACTGAATTCTTGTTCAAATAGGTCATAGACAAAAGCAGTTGATATGAGACACAGTTAAACATATCAAATAATGTTTATTTTAAAAACTGGATACAGCCTATATTGGCATATGAAACTTGTGCACAAGCAGAAATGAACACATACAAGAAACTTCCTTAAACTCGATTTCTGATGTCTCATACCCCACACTCTCTACACCTATCAAATAGACTGGTTGCTCACTTTTCCTGGCAGGTGAAAACAATGATTGACTAGATATATCACCGAAGGACTGGAACCATGCATTTACTGTATAACAGCTTAGTAACCTGGATGTGTATGTTCATGCAATAGTTTTAAAGTCATCTACATGGTTTTCATAAAGCATCAAACTGTTTTCATACATGCTACTTTCATTCTCAACTGACAACTGCCAAGTTAATTGCTGCCACTTCAGCATATCACTAAGAAGACTGGTAAACCTTTAGCTACAAAATCAAGCAGTATATATTTTCTGCCTGAATTGTTACTTAATACCAAGTGGGGTCGGCCATCACTAAAGAGATCTGAAACCATACAAAGGCAAAGGCATTGGCATTTCACGGAACAGTAGGACCCACAGGCTATTATTGGAGACTGACAGACACCAGTGTTACAAAAGCCTTTAAAGAATGCTGTTTTCAGGTCAATGCTTTTTTAAGTCCATCTGCTTTCTCACCAGTATTTTCACAGTTGTACTAGAGATGTTTTATCAGTGTAATTACATAGCCATGCTTTACTTTGTGAGACAAGTGGGTATTTGTAGGGAATTTTCCACATGTGAAAAAAATGTTTTCCAAGTTGTAGGTACAGTGTGAAAGTATGATTTTGATGGAAAACTAGGATGAGTTACAATGCCTTTGGTTTCATTATGTATCAAGTGCAGCCTATTTTTCTATAGGTCTGCCAGAGATTACTGCCAAATTAGAATACAATGACAGCTTGAAGTGTATATGTGTGCGCGCAGCGCAAGTGCGCAAGAGAGGAGAATGGATATTCCTAAAGTTATAACCTCAGGTAAAATCTTTAAGGATTAGAAAACCTACCGATTTTATTGCTGTTTATATTCACCCAAATAAGGGGAAGATTCCAAAATCCAATTCTCAACAATGGGAGAGACGTCAATTAACTGTCCTATTAATTTTCCAGTGGTGCATTCTAGTGAATCACACGCTTTTCTGTCTCTTCAGTATTCACACCCTCAAGTTCTGGTTTCCGAAATAAAGGAGTGCTTTAGAATCACCTGAGCTACCTGAACAAACTCAGTTTTTAGTTTTGAAGTCCTTTGTAGTCACCTTTCTCTTAATCACATTTCTTGACTAGCCTTCTCCTCCTCCCGAAATAACGCAGTGTGCAACTTGATAACATTGGCCAACTGTAATTTCCCTCACACTGGTTTATTAACATGTGTGCAAATAAATATTTATTGAACTAATATTGATTTGTTTTTTTCAGCTAAGTTAGGATTATGGCACAAAGTATTATCTGTGCTGTAAACATGAATTCATCACGAAATTGGAAAGAGAAAAAAAAGGCCCTCTGCAAATATTTCTTGTAGAAGCACAGCTGAGATCAGGAGTCCCGGATGGATTTTGGAATGGGTTTACATTTGGCATACATTCACTGTGCTGTTGGCAAAGCGCAGTTTTACAAGAAGGTCATTCATAAAATCCTACTTTGCAAGGACTTGTTATTTTGAAAACCAAGGACCTAATAAAAGCATGTAGTAACTTAATAGATTTTATGTGGCGTAATTAGGTCTTAGTTACCAGTGTTGATACAGCTTGGTGAATCATTGTACAAGCAAAAGGGATCTTCTCGCCTGATTGTACTTTTGAACAAAGGGCACAATATGACTAATTCCTGACTGCTACAAATCACATTTTAAAACATCTTGTTTGTGTGTTGGAAATGACCCCTGAAAAAAGCAGCAATTACAAATACCCTTATTATTTTGCCCCCCCAAATCATATTCTGGGTGCTTGTTCCTGTTCTTCTCTTTAATAGGAAGCAACGGGAAGAAGCGTGGGGAGCCTTGGTTTTCCAGAGAGCTGAGACCAGGTGAGTCTGCTCTGGGAATTCACAGTTTGTCTGTATAAACTGTAACATGTCACACTATGAGTCAAAGTTCTAGTTTATAAAATAAGGGCCACTCAGCAGTAACTTGAACAATTGGGATTCCATAGAAGAGCTCTTCAATTCTCTGTGTACATACATTCTTTCAGGAGTGAATCCTTTCTCTGTTTCAAGTATCCCTTTCTGTCTCTCACTGTGTAATGAGTTAAGAGGGGGGGAAAAACCCTCCCCATTTTCCCTTTAGTGAACTCAAGCGGCCTCAGTGTCATTCCTCCTTCCCCCTATGTAATCTGAAATGAAGAGTCTGGGCAGATGAAGATTCCCACGGTTTCCTTTTCTTCGTATGGGTGCTCGAGGTCTCTTCACTCGCAACATGGTGCAGACTCTTCGGAATTCAGGTGTACCGAGGCATCTCACACTGCTCACAACGATTTAGTGCTGGGTGGTTCAGGAAAGTGCAGCTGTCACAATTCCATGGGGCCCCTTCATAGTCTTCATCTCGGGGTCGTGTTCGAGGACTCTGTTTGGAGCCAGGAAGATGCTCTAAGGGAAGTTGGGATTAAGAGAAATATTGAGATTGAGTTTTTTCCAAGCATAATCCAGTGAAATGAAAAACAACCCCCTAAAAGTAAGGGAGATAGTTTCCACTTTACCTAATGTGAAAGCCAATTAGTGAACACAGCTACTGGAAATGCATAGCCAAACAGAAAATGTATGATATGTATTTTAATGATATACTTGGGGGGGCACCTTCTGCATTTTTGTTCCACCCTCTATATATTCTACTTTGTTCTAAACAATTTGCTGGGTCCAGCATAGATTACCTTCCTAGTTCATTAGCCACAGATAATGGATAGTTATTCTATATTCCAGACAAATTTTAAAAAATGAGAAATGTTATATAGCATGTTAAATTAATTCTGCCTCCTGCCATCTTCAGCCTGCTGTGACCCCCACCCCCACCCCGGGCCCATATACCAGCCCCACTGTATTTAAGGATCTGATTAAATGTGTGCCTTCTTCCAGGAGACCTTCAGTTCCACAATATGCATGTGTTTAATCATAATGAAAGATTCTTTTATTCTCAGATTCTTTCCTACCTTTTTGGCATCACATTGTCCTTCAGATATTAATTTAAAATGTCTATACCTGGCAATATAAAATGCTGGTAACCTTATGTTGGTCTTTGGGATTTTATTTAAAAACACCTTGAACTCCTAGGTCCTCATTCTCTCTGGCCTTGTGCTTCTTGAGTTAGTTGGTAAGTCCTGCCTTTTAGGAACAGTCCCTACTGAAAGTGGGGCAAGTAGCTAGAAGGCTAAAAGATCTCCGGATGGAATTCACCCTGGAATGTGAAGGTCAGGAGGCTGGGAAGATCTACCTGTAAACACTGGGAAATCTTCACTGTGAGCTGGAAATGAGATTATGATCTAAGGTAAGCAGCCTTCCTAAGCAGGTAACGAAAGAAACAGATCTGGAAAAGTTTTAATCAGTTACCATTTGGGGTTAAGAATATTTTCTGTTGTGGCTGCTTGCTCACGGGTCACCAGGAAATTCATGAGGCAGGTAAAAATGGAGAAGGAAGATTTATTAAAGTAAGAGGAGAGTCTGCTGGAAACTACTGCGTTGAGTCTGTTTCTTTTGTCTTAAATTTTATATTTTCTAAAACTTTCTAATTAGGATGTAAATTTAAATTTCTTCAGCCTGTAGTAGAATTTTCTATTGAGTTGGGCTTTGTCCATTGGGGTGGGGGAAAGTGCAGTTAAGCTGGTTTATTGCAACCTTTGCATATGTTATGTAGATCTAAATTGGAGCCAGGAGTGGGCCCCATACAGATGCAAAAACCTCTCCCTTAATTACCAGGCCTACAGGGTGCAAGGCCGAAGTAAATAGAAACAGTAAAACTGGTATGCATAGTAAATGGGGGGGGGGGGGAAGAATGTACACACAGGACTTGTATTCATCTTTTATTATCGGTATATACTGAGTTACAATTTTAATAGTTTTTTTTTCCTTTCTTATAATGTGTATACATTTTTTGTGTACCCTCTGTATATAGTAAACGGAGTCGTTAAGATTTGGCAGAAAGGAGGCAAAGAAAAGAAAGCTTTCAAAAAGTCCCAAGCTAAATTACACTTGTTAAATCAAATTATACCAGAAGTCCAAATCTCAAAATAGAAGATTTAGTGACATTACAATCCCGTCTTATCAAGCACATTGTTAAAACCTTTTAAAAGAACAAAATGCCCCCCAAAGCGAACACTTAATACTTGTCTAAGGCAGATGACTTTTTATTTCATGAAGTATTTACCAAAGTGAGAAATTTTAAGATGTGAAACCCTTAATGTTACATTCCATCTTTCTATGCTAATTCCAAACGTGGCCTTAAATTTTAGATTGTGGCAATGCAAATATTTAATATGAAAAGGTTTTTCAAACTTCTCTGTTTTCGAAACTATGTAACTGAAAAACCTCTTTTAACCTAATTAATTCAGAATACTTGGGGACTCTTTTCACTGTTTAGTACTGTGAAGGAAAAAAATCTACCCTTCTGAGTTCTTAGCTGAGGCCCCCTTGTAATAAAAGACAGATTAACAGGAGAAAAACAAACAAATTTAATAACATGTATTATCTCCTGTGTACATGGGAGAGGCCCAGGAAAACTGAGTAACTCCCAGAAATGGTCCGAGCTTCTTCCAGAAATACCATCTCCAGACAAAGACGAAACAAAGATGTTGTGGTGGGGGACCCGGTTATGGAGGCTACTACGAAAAGCACAGTAAATAAGGGTAAGATGTGTTATGTGATTTAAGTAGCTGCCTTTCTCCCTTGCTAAAATTCTCAGATTTAGTCGCAAGACTCTTCTCAGGTACCAAGAGAGACCCCTTACAAATGGAGATTGCCTTGTAAATGTAAATGTCTCTTACAAAAGGGGAACTTTTTGCTGTGTTTTCAGAGCTTCTCTTACACCTGCAATTTCTCAAAATAGGCATATTTTGGGGTGTTATATTTTGCTACCTCTCAGTCTCATAACAATTTTAATTTGGAAAAAGAAATTGAAGTGACTTATCAAAAAATAAATTAAAAGGTACCTAATTTAAAATTATTGTTGATCCTGAAAAAAGACACTGCTCATTTCATCATAGGGAAGTACTGTTTAAACAAAGCATCTAAACCAGAAAGACGTTTTAGATGTCTATTTTCATTTGATTTGGAGGTGTGAAATCTTTTTAATGGAATATTTAAAGAAGTTAAGATATTTCAAGCCTCATGGAAAATAAAAACAAAAGGTTATGCATATTTATACACAAATAAAAAATGAAGTAAATAGGTTTTTCCTTTAATAGGCTAAATTTCCATAAAAATGACCATCCTCACAAATATAATCAATATTGTTTATATTATGTAGTAAACTACAGAAGACAAAATGCTCAAAAGGATGCAACTAAAATTTTCAAAAATACTAAATATTTTCTACACAGTTTCAAAAATAGCTGTTATTTTTCCGATAATGGGAAATATGCCAATGGTAAAGGAAGAAGGATTTGTTTTTTTAACTATATGAAGTGTAATGTGTGTCATGCTTGGTTTGTTCTTAGAGAGACTCAGACAGACTCAGAGTAGCAGACAGAAACAGACACCCCAACAAACGGACTCTAACAGAGAGAGACTCAGGGAGGGAGAGCTGCTTGGTTTGTTCTTAGGCTGGGATCTTTTCACCCAGTTATAAGAAATATCAAGTAGAATGCTTACACAAATTCAAACATGTACAATATTTCTAGAAACCTTATTTTAACTGAACCATGATAAAGTTCAACAAGCATTAGAAAACTTCAGTGACAAGTTATCAAGTCCAGAGCTTTGAAGTTATTTACTTGGCCTTGCTTTCTGGATACTATAATCTTAGAGTAATTTGTCCACTATGGTGGCCACTCTGAATTGAGATGTGTTGTAAGTGTAAATAAAATATACACCAGATTTCAAAGATTTAGTATGAAATAAAGAATGTAAAATAGCTCACAATAATTTATATTCATTTCATATTGAAATACTACCATGTATATACTTAGATTAAGTAAAATATATTAAAATTAATTTCACTTGGTTTACTTTTTTTAATGAGGTTACTAGAATATTTTAAATTACGTATGTGGCTCACATTAAATTTCTGTTAGTGCAGCCTTAGAAACTGTAGAGAGAGTAATTTTTTCAAGTAAAAAGTCAGTCTTTACTTATAACTCTACATGGGTTAACACGTGTCTTTAAAGTACATTCTGGACACACTAGTACAAACCATCTGCACCTGCTGCCTGGGTGTCATGGGTGTCCACCTGTACTTTGGAGGTCACGCTAATTCTTCGGGCCTTCCTCTCAATTGTGCAGGGGTCTGATGAATCTGCATGAGAAGAGAAGCCAGGAAGAAGGAATCAAGCCATTCATTTAGAACACTGGACAGGCTCACAAAAATTGCTCATGGGACACGCACAGGCGTTTACCCTTCTAACACTTAATGTTACCTTGAATGAGGACAAGTGCCATATTTCACACTGCTTTTACAACCTATACAGAGCAGTGGCTCTTATAGCTTTTTCTATCCTCTTCAATTACTTGGAATAAATGCCTTATTTCACCAGCTTCCCACTTTCTAGTGGGTTAGGGGTATAAAATCAGTAATTAAATGTCAATGTGAAAGCAAAATTTGGGAGATTACACTTTAGCAATTCCCTAATTAAGCAAGTTATTAGAAAATTATGAGTGAAAATTACACTACCCATATTAAGGCTAACCAAAGAACCTATTTACAATAATCATAACATTAAAGAACAATAGCAGTACTTGAAAATCAGAACCAACTCAAAATAATCTATGTACTGATAACACATGTTCCCCAATCATTTCATAAATTCCAGTACCTGCACGTGCAAAAGCCCAGTAGATACTTTCCAACATGGACTGCAAGCATCCCAATTTCTTACTAGAGTATTGTCTATAAATTCATAGGTTATTAGTAAGTAGTTCTTTGTATGAAGTAAAAACAAAAAGTAGCAGACTTTGTATTATTTGCCCGTAAGAACCAATAAAAGATCTTACATTTTCTAATCAGTTTTAAGCCCATAAGCAGCCCCCTAGTACAATTCACCTTTGGAGATCAGTGCTTATGCACTAAAGCACTCCCTTATCAGACAGAGTAAACAAAAGTTGAGTTAGGTGTCTCCTTAGGCTCCAAAGACTGAGGTTAAGTTCTTATTCCTTAGATTTGTAAAGCACTTTATTGCATCACATACCTCTTCTCATTGTCCCTTCTTACTTAGCTTGTGTATTTTACAGGACTGCTGACCTCGCTGGTACACAGACTGGATCTGAACAAGGTCATGAGGCCAAGACCACCAGGACCAGCACTCAAGTCAGGGGACACCAAGGTCAGTGCTCTCACCATAATGACGGGGTTGGGGATGGATCTGACAGTGTATTGTTTAACTGCAGAGTCCAGTGCAAAAAGGTTTCCCTGTCTCCCTTCCTATCTCTCATTCTCTCTTTAATTATTGCACTTATTTATTCAGATAAACATCCATATTCCACTTGGATTTCTAGCATGTAACTGTAATAACCCCAAGACATTTATTCTAGCTGATAAAACAATTCTACCTGTTATTTACATTTTACTTGCTTTTTAAATTTAAGTGGTACTACAAGATGATTTGCATTAAACTAGATAAACTTTCAGGAAAGGCCAATTTAGGTGTGTGTTTTTTTTTTAAAAGGGAATCTGTGTTTTTGAGAAAACAAAATTGACTTCATACAGAAAACCAAATAGCTTTTATAAATCTGTCATGAAAAGGCTTCCTAAAGAATTACAGAATTTAGTAAAGTTCTATTGTTTATAAGTTTTAATAGAAAAAGGTAAAAGGTTTAAAAAACTATAGGGTATAACGGCACCATTTTTATACTCTCACCAACAGTATATATTAGATAATTAAAGCTCAATTAGATTTCTAAAGTAGCAATCCATTTATAGTGAACATGTTACTTTACATGGCTTTCTAATCAACATTTTAGTCAAACTGTATATGTAGAATATAAGTTGCTTATGGTAAGACTTACCTTTGTAGCATCAACCATCTATCTACACAATCCATTTACATATTGAGCATTTGATACATCTAACTCTAAAATTTAGCACATTTTATTAGAATTAAAGGTGCCATGGAAAAGAGCCTTTTTAGTATAAAAGTACTTGCACAGAACTAGATGCAGCTTGTTATTAATGGCATATTAATGCAAGCCCTGCATAATTCCCAGCTGAGAACTATGCCAAACAAATAGGAGCCTCTCATCTCACATACATGGTGTTGGTCTCGAAGACAGAAGGCAGAATGACACATCTGCAACACTGATGTCAGCACTGCTATAGAAAACTCAGAACATGGGTTCCTGGCAGCTGGTCTATCACATTACCTCAAGACAGTTTCCTTTTAAGTGTATCATTTCCTGAGTTTTGGTAAATCCATATACACCTGGATAATCCAAATCCCTACCAATTTAGAATGCTACTATCAGCCCAGAAAACCTACCCCTGCCCTTTCCCACTCAATCCCCAACCTCAACTTCCAGGGACATTTTTCTTTACCATAAATTAATTTTACTTGTTCTAGAATTTCATATAAACAGAACCATACAGTATGTATTGCATTTGATTTCTTTCATTTGGCATTAGTTCAGTAGTTCAGTTTTATTGTTGAGCAGTATTTCATGGTATGAATATATCACAGTCTGTTAATCCATTCACCTGTTGATGGGCACCTGGGCTGTTTCCAGTTTTTGTTATTATGAATAAAATTGGTATGAATCTTCTAATACAAGTCATTTTGTAGACATACTTTAGATTCTCTTGGATAAACCTTTAGAAGTAGAAGTACAATATTAGGGCAGGTGAATGGTTTTATAAGAAATGGCCAGGCCATTATTTTAGCCATTCTAGTGAGTGTAAGGTGGTATCCCAGGATTTTAATTTGCATTTCCCTAACGTCTACTCAAATTGAGCATTTTTCTGTGTTTATTGGCCATTTATATACATTCCTTTGTGAAGTGTCTGCTCAAATGTTTTGCCCTTTTTTGAATTGGGCTGTGTGTCACAGAAGTTCTTCACATAGTCACAATATCAGTTCTTCACCAGATACATGTTTTGCAGATATTTTCTACCAGTTTGTGGCTTGCCTTTGTCACTTTAATAGTGTCTCTTGATGAGAAGTGTTCGATGAAGGCTAATTTACCAATTTTTTCCCCATTGTTTCCTCTGTCCTATCTAAAAATCTTTATGTACATCTAAGTTGCAAAGATATTCTATATTTTGGAAGCTTTGTAAGTTTAGCTCTTACATGTAGGTGTGTATGACCTTTCTCAAATTTTTGTGTATAGTTTGAATTTTTGTTTTTTCCACATGGATATCCAGTTCTTCTAGCACTGGCTGTGGGACAGACTTCCCTTTCTCCATCGGTTGCTTTGGTCAAAAATCAGCTGGTAGTGTAAGTGAGTGAGGGTTTACCCTACATCTGGGCTCTCTATTCTTTTCCAATTATCCATTTTTTAAAATCCCTATGCCAGTACCACACTGATTGAATACTGTAGCTTTATATATAGTAAGTGCTAAAGTTGATTAGCATAAGACTTTCAACTTCGCTCTTCTTTATTGATATTGTATTGGATATTCTGTCTTGTGTGTTTCCCTATCAATTTCACATTAAGTTTATTAATTTTTACCAAAAAAAGTAAAACCTGGTGGAGTTACAATTGATATTGCATTATATCTACAAATCAACATGGGAAGAACAGGTATCTTAACAATATTGATTTAATCATGAATATGGTATATTACTCTTTGTTTAGGTCTTCTTTAGTTTCCAATGTACGTATCTCTGGTTAAATTGATTCATGTATTGTGTTTTTTTGATGGTATTGTAATTATCTTTAATTTCATTTTCAAATTGCTTGCTAATATAGCATAAAAATGTTTTTTGTATACTGACCTTATATCCCAAGACCTTGTTAAACTCACTTACTAGTTCTAATAGTTGTTTTTCAGTACCCTTAGATTTTCTTTGCAAATAATGTCATCTAGAAGGACTGTTGAATTTTGTCAGGTGCTCTTTTGTCAACTGAATCTAGTGAAATGATTATATGCTTTTTCTCCTTTACTTTAATATTGCATTCCTGAGCTAAATCCAACTTAGTCATGATGCATTATCTTTTTTATATACTGTAAATATTTTATGAAGGATTTCTCTGCTTTTATGTTAATGAGTGGTATTGATCTGTAGGGGTGGGTAGGTAATGCCTTTATCAAGTTTTGGAATCAGGGTTCTGCTGGCTCCATTTTAAAAAATGGGAAACTTCCTTCCTTCTCTATTTTCTCAGTTTGTGTTAAGATTTATTATCTCTTCCTTAAATGTTTGATAGAATTCACCCACTAGTGAAACCATCTGGATCTGGAATTTTCTTTGTGGGACAGTTTTTGATAATAGACTCAATTTCTTTAATAGATATATAGTTATTACTATTTTCTATTTCATCTTTTCAGTTTTGGTAGGTTACATTTTTCAAGGAATGTGTCCATTTCATCTAAGGTGTTGAGTTTACTGGCATATAGCTGTTCATCACATTCCCTTATTATTTTAATGGCTAACCCATTTTTCATTTCTGATTTTGGTAATTTGTGTTCCTTTAAAAAAAAAAGATTTTATTGGGGAACTGAAGGAGGGGAACAGCGTTGGGGAATCGGGGAGGGGGAACAGACAAGTTGCTGTCCTTTTGTTCCTCGGTTTAGTTGTGGAGGACGTTGCTTCACTGGCCCATGTTGGTATTATCATTGCGCTCTTCCCGGCTGAGGCAATCGCTCACCAGCCATTGGGCGGCCGCTCACAGCGGCTCATGGCAGCTCACGCTGGCTGCCAGCCACTCACAGTAGCTCACGGCAGCCCACTGCAGCAGGGGCTACAGCCTACACTGTGGCCGGTGACTCACGGCAGCCCAGCTCCAGGTCGAGCTGTTGTTCACCACCTTAGCTGTAGAGAGCGCAGTGTCACTGGCCGTCATGTGGGATTGGAACCAGGGCCCTGCTGCTCAGAGCTGGCGTCCCAAACCAAGTCTTGACCAACGCCACTCGGCTAGCCCATGATCAATCTATTTTGAGTTGCTTAAATCCTAAGGATTAAGATTTGAAATGCTCAGTCTTGAGAATTAAGATTGGGGCACAAAAGTTTAAATTCAATGACTCGTTTAAATTCAAATTTAAACATTTGGTACATAAAAACAAGCTCTTTGATACCTTTAATATTACATAGGAATAATTTACAATTATCCAATAGCAATTCCTCCAAATCTTGGATTTATGTAGGACCTAATGGTTATGCTCACCTGTTGGGTACACGATTCTTTTGTAGCCTGTCAATTAAGTAGATCAAACTTTCCATTCTCACATAATACTTTTAGGATTATAGTTTTTACAGTGCTGGTTAATTTTATAATAACTATATAATGCACTGTTTCAACTTAAAAAATAAATTGTATATCCCATTTAATTACTTTTGACAATAATTCCAGGACTAATTAATTTTAGTGCTTTTTAGAAGTTTGGGGACATCATGGTAACTTTTTGTATGTTGAACAAGTTAATAGAAATTTCTTCAGCTATAACTGTGAACTCCCAGAGAATTTTCATATTTATTTCTATGACGTTTGTGACATTTCCCTACTCACCTTTTTTAGATGGCTTGGGTGGTACCACTGGGCCAGGTTGTATGTTGTCATAAAAATTATTCATGGCTTTTGGATCAAAGTTTCCTATAAAGAAAATAAAATTACCAGGCATTTAGCGCTCTTTCTGTTAGTTGAGTTTTTTGTTAAGGAAAATAGGGAAATAAAGTTTTCCAGCATTTCAAAACTCATTATATTATCCTTCCCTCTTCTCACTGAAATTGTTTTCTTTATCATTGTGAGAAAAGACTCAAGCAAACTATCACACCTGTGTCTGTCTATAATGTTCACCTAAAGGAGTATTTTTCTAACTGTAAAGCCAGTCTCTTTAGGCACAATTAAGCATGTGGCGCATTTAGGGAGGTAAATGAAGGAGAGAAATGAAAAGATGGCTGAACTGGTTTTTGTTTGTTTTGATTTTAATAAACAAACCATGATAAAGATTTAAATAGTGAAAGCTCACTTTCTTGTCTTTCATAATTTACCTTAAAATTTTATCTACTATAAATTCAACTGTGGAAGAACCCAAATATATAAATTTACAAAGATTAATCAAGTTGTTATATCAGCAGCTCATGGAGTCATATCTTCAAGACAAGGAGAATCTTAAATGTCACCTACAGATTTATTAATGATAAAAGATACGGTGCCAATTTCAGAATAGTAGAACAATCCCTGAGAATTTTGTCTTGCCACAACATTTTCACTTCTCTTAAAATGTTCACTCCCTGATCTAGTTGTCTGTTTCAGCCCCATCTTTTGCCACGACTCCTCCAAGGTCAGTTTTTATCCAGTGCCAGCTTTGGGTCCTACATTCACTTCTGTGAACCTATCACCATAACCTGCTTGTTCTACACAATTCTAGTTAAGCTTTATAACTGTACCCACAACTTATTTACAGAGGATGTATATGGTACTGATAGTTCTAGACCTAATTTTTTCCCCAATAACAGTTTTCCTCACAAAAACCAACAATAAAGCTGCTTTTTATCAAATCATGTACTGATTTGCATCTAGTTTAAATGTTCCCCAAAATGTCTGATTCCTTCTCTTGCTTAGAAGTTTAGATTGGAAATTTATATAAAATGTTTCCAGAGCATGGAAGAGAAGAATTTAGTATAAAATGGATACATTTGGACCCCTTATGAAAGCAGATTTAGAAATCCTTACGCACCAGCTCTTTGCCCAATGGAGACCAAAAACAATTCTTCACTTATAAAATCTTAATAGTGGTTTCCCTTGCAGGTCCTATTACAAATGCTTTTACCCATTTGGATATGCTATTTTAAGATAACTTTCTGAAAAAAATTCCTATGATAGCTCATGAAAACCACAATGCTATTTGATATATTAATTGTATCTTTTTATGTTTTAAGATGCTGCATATGTATTTCAATTACTTAAGTTATAGCTGATGATGTAATTTCTACACCCATAAGGCTTACTATAAATATCCTAAGCAAATGTTTGTGTTTCTTGTTTTACTTCAAAGAACATAAGCAAAAAAAATTGATGCACTCTTCCCTCCTAATACAGCAGCAGCAATAGTTTGTATAACACCCCACATTATGCACAGTAATTTTTTCTACAGCCTACAAGCTTTAAGCAATGAAAGAATTACTGTGTCTAGGCTTCTGGAAATAATTTTAAGGGCACCTAACTAGATTGTTCAGCTTTCACATTCAAATTTACTTCTATTATTCAGACAGTTCCATATCTTTTGGGTTCCCCTGCTTCTACTGTTTAGCCTTGCCTAAAAATGGCAGAGGAGTATTTTTATATACTCTTAAAATACAGTAGAAACTCTCTTAGCTTTCATAATTAAGGACAGTAAAGGAGGGAGGCTAATTATAAAATGGAGTTGTTAAGAAAAATTACATGTCAATTTTACTGTAATAAACATAGTAGTACATGTCTGTTGACTGAAGGTTCTATATTGTCTTTCTTATTATATAAACTTACACCCGTGATGACCTAAAGTGGGCAAACTTTTTCTGTAAAGGTCCAGGTAAATGTTTTAGGCATTGTGGATAATACAGTCTTTGTTGTGAGTCCTGATTTAACTATAGTGTTGAAGCACAAAAGCAGCCAAAGACAATATGTAAACAAATGGGTGTGGCTACGTTCCACTAAAACTTTATTTTGAAAAACATGAAACAGGCTAGTTTGGGGAAAAGCCTGATCTATAATTTCCTGTTTTGACTTTGTGAGAATGGAGCAAGAAAGCTACTTTAAGGGCCAGCTGAGTGGCGCGTTGGTTAAGAGCTGGCTTGGGACGCCAGAGGGCCCCAGTTTGGATCCCACATATGAGGGCCAGTGACACTGCCCTGTACAGCTAAGATGCTGAACAACGCTCAACCTGGAGCTGGGCTGCTGTGAGTCACCAGTAACAGTGTAGGCTGCAGCCATTGCTGCAGTGAGTTGCCATGGGCTACCATGTGTAGCCAGCAGCCAGCGTGAGCGGCCAAGTAGCCGCAGTGAGCGGCAGTCCAGAAGCCGGCGACTGATCTGCCTCGTCCAGTAAGAGCGCAATGATGGTGCCAACTTGGACCACTGAAGCAACATCCTCCACAACTAGGCTGAAGAACAAAAGGACAGCAATTGTCTGTTCCCCTTCCCCCAATTCCCCAATTAAAAAAAAAAATCTTAAAAAAAAAAAACACAAAAACCTGCTTTAAGAACATTTAATTTGAGGACCGAATCTTCTTAGATTTTTATGATTTCCCCCCTTACTCTCTTCAGTTATATCTAATTTAGTCCCTATTTGATTTGCCTGAGTCTTTAAAAAGCATTTGCCTTTGGTTTTTATTTCTCCTGCCTTCATGTCAGTTTAAGAAACATTAAATTACAAAGTATAGTAACGGGCATAAACAGGTTTAGGAACAGGCCCAACTGACTTTTGGTAAGCAGACAATTCCACTGAGGGGAGCAATAAGTAGTATATGGACATGCCAGAATAGTCTCTTATCATGAGTGTGCAGCAGCTGTGGGCTCAGTCAGTATATTTTACAGAGGAAATGAAGAGCATCTCTAACCTGAGCTGGGTAAATGAAAGTCAGTTAAGAGAGCTTCTACTGTAGTAGTACATTTCTATAAGGAAGGCAAAAAAAAAAAACCCCAGAAAAGATAAATTAAAAATGGCATATGGAGGGGCCGGCTGAGTGGCTCAGTTGGTTAAGAGCTCGCTCAAGAGTTTGAGCTCTGAGCAACAGCGGTTCGAGTCAGCCCGAGCTGAGCAGCCGCTGAGCTGCCAACAGGTGGCAGGATGGCTCAGCTAAAAAAAAAAATGGCATATGGAATTTACTTTAAAACAGAAATTTAATATTCTGATTTTTGGACCCCAGGTTTCTACAAGTATTTTAGATGATTCCCATATAATATGAATCTACTAAGTTTTAGAATTAAAACCCATCAACTTATAAAATATTTACAGTAAATGACTAAAAGAGGATAAACACAGAATAAAAACATAGAACAGTCTCAATGATAAGAACTTGATGAAACTGCCAAAGTAAAACTATTTTTGATCCCCCAAATATGATCTACGACCAAGAATGGGGTGGAAGGATCTCTTTACCAGGACTATCATCTTATAATGGGTAAAAACTACCTCTTAAATCTGTAAAACCAAAATGATTGCTATTTAAGTAGCTTAAAACACCACACTATTACTTATGGTTTACCAAATAATCAAGTCTATACCTCTAGATTGAAGGAGGTCAACTTCTTTCAGTGTACAGTCAACATTTATCTGGAGTTGTCTGTTCATGCTTCTCAATCTTGTCATTTCCTCAGGCTAGTAAGAAAGGACCCAAAATAGCAAGTGTGGGAAAGTCATTATCAAGCCCAACATTTAAGAACTGCTATTCATGTTAATTGTTCTGATTGGTTATTACCGAGAATATAGCCTTAGTCCATAAGAGGACATGTTTAAGAAGTCCTATTATGTTATGGTTTTCAAGGAATAGTCAGGTAAAATGGGGACATCAGCATGGCCCCATACAAACAAAATCTGCATATAACGTGGCAGGCTACAATACTAGACTGTAAAATACTACCATTTTAATTACAAAGCACTAAGAATATTTTATTTCATCTGTTTTTTATGATAAGGGAGACTAATAAGTATCAACCTTTTAAATAAGCAACATCCATGATTTTAACTTGTCCAAGCTGGTAAAAATTACAACAGCACTAACTTTAATGAACATTTACTGAGTGGCAGGTACTGTGTTCACCAGAATTCTCTCATTCCTTCCTCAAAACAATTTCTCAAGGTACGTACTAATATCACCTCCAATTTATATAGGAGGAAGCTGAGGCACAGGTTATATAATTTCCCCAAGGTTATAAAAGCTAGTAATTGGTAGAGTCAGGATTTATATATTGTAGAACTCGTCTATATAAACTTATATAAACATCTTTTTTTCTAGGTCAAAAGAAGTAATTAATCTAGTTCATGAAATTTTCAGGAACAAATGGACTGCATTCTTCCCCCAACTTTGTTTCCTTCTGCCTTGACCTTTCCAGCCCAGCCTATACTTTAGGCCTTCCAGGGGCATACAGGAGACACTTAAATGTGAAGAGAGCCTTATTCTTCAGTTAAATCAAGCTTTTTGGAAGCCTTTACTTCCTTGACATTCTGAATTTTACTATTTTACATATATGTATAGTAAAAAACAAAATTAGGGTTTAGACTCCAGAGGTATGGGTATTGAAGCTTTCAGCACAGCCTAGGTATTAACTAAAGTTTCTAAGGTGATATATAAAGTAAAAGATTAAAAACATGTATTTTGCTAAAAACTAAATATGTAAGAATGTAGAAAAATGGGCAAAAAGGGTTATTTTAATTCACAATAATGCAAGATCTTGTTAGGAGGTATTACCAGAATAACTGGGAATTCCCACTAAATTAGTAGGTACCGAGTTTAAAATAAGTGCTATAACAGGCAGAATATATATAATAAGAGCTATAATCCCTTAGAATGCCAGGGGAACACAAAAGTCATTTAGAAATATTTACAAGGGATTGCTTTTTCTTTTCTCATTCCTATGGGTAAACCATGTGACATTAACATGTAAATTCCTTATACTATCTCTACTAGGCAATATTAAGAGTTTAAAACACCTGAGCATTATACTAAAGCTGAAGCACTTGGTTCAAGGGTTTCAAAGAGTGATGCCATCTTCCTAGGAACATGTGCAAGAACCTATTTTCTTTGTAGAATCATATCAGGAAAGTCAAGTACCTGAAGGAGCTGATCCTTCCTATATATTGGTGGTGGGGGGTTGCAGCTGCAGTGTCCCTGAATAGTGAAGCTCTGTAACTATTATACTTGATTATAACATACTTTATAGTCAAGATACTGCACGTTTGCTTATAACAACAAAAAGTTCTCAACAGGCTCATTTCCAAAGATAGTAGAACCACTGGAACTCACTAACCTAACAGTTTATCTGTAAGATTCTTCTGTCCTTTTTCATAGTTTCTGATTAAATTGAGAGGAAAAAGCTTTCTGAAAAATTGCTAACATTTGTAAAAAAGTAGTTTTTTGTGGAGAAGGGGTTTCAAGATTGTTTACTCTAAGTTTTTTCCTGAAAGGTAGCAGAAACACCTTAAGTCAAGTGTTTCAGCACTTCAAGCAGTTGTTTCACAGAGACCAGGGTCGAGGACACTGATGTTCTTCGGTGGCTTGGTCCCAATTATGCATCTGGGACTCAAAACTGTTAGTCCAAAAACCCAATTACAACAAGATGAATGGGAGGGAAATGTTGGGGGAGGGGATAACTGGCAGCCCTCTGCTTACTAAAATCTTATTTATCCTTCAAGGTATATAAGTTAAATTTCCTCCTCTTCCATGAAATTGTCTCAATCTTTGAACCCTACCAGCAAAAAACTGACATTTCTATCTCAGAACTCTGAAGGCACTTAATATCACTACCTTATTTCAGCTGGCCAGAACTTCTGATCTACTGCTTCACAATACTGTGTCTGTCTCTCTCTCTCCCCCTTCACAATACTGTCTCTCTCTCACTCTCTCTCTCTCTCACACACACTCACACACACAGGTACATAGGCAGATATACATACATCTTTTTACATACAGATCTCTAAGAGATGACATCTCCCACAGCATTTAATACAATGCTTTGCAAATAATAGATTGAGGGAAATGATGGCAGTCATGCATCTTTGCACTTTGGCCCTCCTTAGGAAGATTGTCACTGCTCCTGTTTCTGCACCTGCAACTGCACACAGAGCTGTTCACAAATGTGCATTCCAGTCTCATTAGGCACACACATTTCTAAGCAACTTTTTAATACGCTGCTTGATAAGAAATTAATTTGTTTGAAAACGTGAAGATAGCAATATGTACCTAGTAGCAATGAAAGTCAATTCTATATTGTGTAATCCTAGAAGCGTGGGACTATGATAAGGATAGCCATTTACTGAGCACCTACAACAAGCCAGGCACTTTACATGCATTATTGTCTCTTTTTCTTGACAACAACATTAAAATGTACAATATGTTAGAATTCCCTTCTCTGGATAGGGAAAATCAAATGCAGAGAAGTTAGATAGTACCAGTGACTTCCAGAGTTATTCTGGTTCCGGAGCCTATGTGGACACTCTTTCAACTGTCATGGTGCCTCAAATGAACCTCTATGAACAAAAAGGGAATTCTGACTACATGCTTTATTTTTATTAATTCCCTACATATAATATACCCTGGTGTTATGCATGTTCCTAAAGTTTAAAAGAAATCAGTTTTACAAAATGCTTTAGATTTGTGTATCTCAAGCAAATTTTTCCAGTACCTTGCCAACTAACCTTTATCTTATAAGAACATTTACTATTTGTTGGGCATTATATAAATTGTTTAAAGTGTTATTATCTTATTTAATCCTAACAAAAATCCCATGACATGGGTACTCACACACATTATAGATAAGAAAATAAGCATAGAGAAGGTTACTTATCCAAAGATATATGAAAGACACATAAGCAACAGAAGTAGGATTCAAATTCACATCTCAATTGAGAGCTCGCTGTCTTAACCACAACTGTCCCTCAGCCATGCGCTCCTAATAGTCCTCCATTTTACTCTAGACCTGGCAGCAGAAACACACGGGAATCACACAAATTTCTCTTCTCTCAAATACTACCACATGAGCTACCAATTTCTGAAGCTGGGTGATGGCTACATGGGGGTTCATTATGCTATTCCACCTATTTTACGTATCTTTGAAATACTCTAAGTTAAAAATTATAGCCTAGGGCAGGAGTTTCACCAATTTCCCTTTTTCTAAAGAAGTCTCATCAATAAAAGCTTTCATCTAAAATCTGGGTTTTTTTGAAGCACTAACTTATGCTACATTAGATAATTCTCTACTGCCAACAACAACAAAAAAGACCAACAGGTTTTTAATTTAGCAGGGATTATCACACACCAAGAGATTGTTAATCAAATCTTAAATGGTTATGTTACAGAAAATAACTTCTATGCTAAAATTTATTGATGCTCTACAAGTACCTAAAGGACCCCAAAGTGCTCGTGGTTTCCTATATGAGTTATTCTTCAATATCTCCACTCATCAGAGAACTCAATTAAGATTTCAAGTGTGAAACAATGAGGCTGAAACATCACCTTTCAGTTAAAGACAGCTTTGTAATTTCCCAAGTGTTTTAAGTAATTAATCCCCTTCCTTCTTACTTCCAATATTGAGTATACTTAGGAACTTAATCACTATTAGGAAAAATATCATTAAATATGCCTGTTTCTCAATAACATCCACTGGTTCCCCATGACTGGTAGAAGTTCAAACACCTCAACCTAGTGATTAAGGTCTAAGGCCCACTCTACCTGTGTACATCAACCTGTTAAGACATCAGAACTCTCAGCTTAAGTGAGGGAACTGTGAATTGCTGCCTCCTGAAAGTCCTCCATTTTACACTGTTGAGGGCAGTGGTTCCTCCCCTTTTTCCTTCAATCTAATAACTATGAAAATCAGATGAAAGCTATAGTCCTGCTTCCCACATTAACACACATATGAAACTGCATATAATTTCAGGGGTTCACTAAGATCTCCTTTGAAGCCAAGAACCTCAGTTAAAAACTTTTCTATGAGACATAGCTGCAGACATGCTGTCTGCAAGAGGCCTGACATACATCCATGCCCACTTCTCTCTGAGAGATTACCCTTAGTTTAGATAGGGTAAGAGAAGGAGGAATGACTCCATCGAAAAAGTAGAGATTGAGCTGAGCCCTGAAGAACAGACAAGATTTTCACATGCAGAGCATTCCAGCAGGAGGAATGTGAGAGCAGAGAAGTGCATTGAGTATATACAGAAACTACCATTTCCCCCCATGTATAAGACGCACCCCTTTTTGAAAAATTTGGGGTCTAAAAACTGGGTGCGTCTTATACAGCGGTTGTAGATTTTTTTTTTTTACTTGCATTTCCCGCTTTTTTCGCGCTTGTTGTCTTTGCGCTCATTGTTTCACACTTGTTACTGGTATATTAGGTTACATTTTGCCACGTTCTGCCCAGAAATGGCTCAGAAAAGATTTTCGTACAGTGCTGAATTCAAGTTAAAAGTGATCCAGTTTGCAAAAGTGAATGGAAATTGTGGTGCTGAACATAAGTTTGGTCCTGCTCCAACTGAGAAAACAATCCGAGACTGGCTATGGTTGGGAGTTTTGACAGTGATGAGGAGTTGTATGAATTTTATGATGAATAAAACTTGAGTTCAATAACTGTATGTAATACTTTTTTTTCTTCTTCAAATTTCGGGCCCCAAAATTAAGGTGCGTCTTATACATGGGGAAATACGGTAGTTGATGTATGAGTCCTCTCAGCAAACGGGGCACTTACCCCACAGTATTATATCAAGTTATCTTTTGATGGATTTATGTCTCCCACTAGCAGGCATGTACTAAGCACCTAGTAACGGACCACATTCATAAACCATTTTTGTTGACTGAATGAGTTAAAAAGTGAAATGATATAAGATTTTAGAGACTTCTTTCAAAATTTTCAGAACTGTTTAAGATCTTTAGAACTCATAAATATTAACCAACCTGTTAAAAATATATTATCCAAATCTTTTCATTAGAGCAGTTCCTGTTAGGACTGTTGTCAATGCTGTTATCTTAGTTTGTACAATTATTTACACATAACAAATTGCTCTGCCTTAAAAGTCTTATAGTCAACACTCCCAAAATTCATACTGACCTCACTGTAGCTCATTTAACTTAATGTACTTAGAAAAATAATTTTTAAATGTTTGGAAACATATATAATATGCTTAGGAGAATAAATGGATACACGAGAACAATTTATAAAATATTTGGTCAGGGTGCACTTTTCATTTCTATTTTGACAAAAAGCAATTTATTGCACATGAGATGCTATAGCTTGATTATAACAGTCAGTATTTGAAAATACTGATGAGCCTATGGAATTCATATATGTAAAAAAAAAAGCATCAAATTACTTTGATGAGAACTATTGAAGGCAAAGGTCCTTCAACCATTGTTTAAAAAGCAAAAACAAAAGAACTGCCAGAAACAGAACCTAAAAGAAAAACAAACGTCCCGGACAGCCAATGTCCCCACTTTCCTATCCACACATCCCAACAGATCGCTTACCGTAGGGATCGAAGTGTTGCAGCTGACCCTTCTGAGCCGTCTCTGCATCAGGTCATGCTCCATACTGTTCACTTCAGCCTTCAACCGCTCTAGCTCCTCTTTCTCAAGTTTCAACTGCTTTGCTAACCTCTCCATCCTTGCTCGCTGATGTAACAGCAAGGCTATAGCATTACAGATAAAGTCATTGCAGAGAATAAGACTGAACAAGTGACCGGGAAATTCCTATACGCATTGCTAATGTATAAAATACCTGTAAGGAGCCCTGTCGTCCAACTTGAATTGGCATTTACTCTCATGTCTTTCTAATGCTCTTCTGCCTCCATATCTGCTTTAATTTAGCTCTTGGAACTGCGGCCAAAATATCATCTATCCGTCCCTCTTGTTCTGTCGTCCTTAGTTTCCCTAAGAGTATCTTTAACTATACCTGTGTGTTTTAAACAGGCTCAATACCAGGCATATTGAATTACAATCATAATTAACTTCCCTCCTTATACACTAAATTCTCAGATATCTTGAAACAATCTAAATAGACTTTTAAAAACTCTATTCTCTTTTAAATATAAAGGACATTGTTAGTTAATAATGGACCTAACTAAATGTAATGTTCTTCATTACCAATCCCATTTATAAATATCATTATATCCTTTAGGCCATTCTCTTTAGAAAATATTTAAATTATTGCACCTTGATAAACTTTAGTCCACCCTCTATGAATCTTTTTCCCACTCTGCAGTTTGTCTTTTTGACAATACCAACTTCACTTATCTATATTTTTCTCCCAATGAATGTTCTTCCTAAAAAAAAAAGTCTCATTAGGTCATTATTACATGCCTACATTTTCATATTTGAAAAAAGTCTGTAGATGACTCTCAAGCACTAACCCCATTCTTAATAGCAATGCTACTGCCCAATATTTAATAAATACTGAACAGCTAATATAAGCTATTTTATTTTGAATAGGAGATTGCCACCCCACCACAAAGATTAGATTTCATAAAAGGGGCTGAAATTACCTTGTGTATAGGCATAGTCATCTGATCCAGAGCTAGAACTCCTCTGATATTTATGGCTTCCCTTTTCTCCCCCCGTGCCTGGTATCACTGAAATAGGCTGAATAGGTTCTGGGGCTGCAGAGCGTTCTTCTTGGTCCACTAAATTTAAAAGATTTTCAGTCGTTGCTCGGCCTACAGTAATTTTAAAAACTGTAGTTGGGTTTGGTATCACCCGCGGAGCTGGGGATGGAGCACAGGAAGGTCCAGTTGGCTGTGTATACGTGATATACACAGGATTAACACTAAATGGAGGTTTGGGCTGACTGGATAACCCTCTTGAAGGAGAACTTGAAGGTGGAGTGGTGGCTGTGTACAGTGAGTGCTGATTCCGTGGCGATGGTTGATTACTGATAGGCGACGGACTCCGATTCATTGCTGTCCCAGGTCTTTGAGAGGGTTCGACTGTAATTTCGATCTTCTTCATGGATCCTTTGGGTAAGCTAGATGTTGTGTATGGGAGATAGGCTACTGAATGGCTTCCCTGTTTCTGATAGGGAGATCCTTGTTGATATGGATGGGGTGGAGTTGTCGAAGGACTAGGTGGCAGAAAGACATGGGAACTTGGGTGGCCCAACTGCGAAGGCTGCACTTGATGCTGTGGAGAGCTGAAGGGTGAAGGACACTGAGAAGGAGGTGGCGAATGGTAAGCAGGCTGAGGGATCTGTTGTTTTGGAGAATACTGAGAAGGTTGATAGTTCTGCTGATGTGAATAAACAGGCAAAGGACGTTGGCTATAATGAGGCACTGGGCCCTGAGGTGAGGACTGCCATGGTGAACTCTGCGGAGTTTGTCTTCCTGATGAACTCTGAGATGTCTGTCTGATATAAATAGAACCAGGAGACCCATAGAGATTGCTTGGAATTTGTGGAAGAATTTGTAAAGCTCTTGGGACAGCCTGTCCAGAAGGGAGGTTTTGGGATACTGTAACAGTGATTGGATTTGTACTATACCGAGGTACGTGCATGTATGAAGGAGGTGGCGGTGGCGAAGGCCCTTGCATAGCAGATGGATTCATTCCTGTTTGCATGGAAGATGGCTGTTGAGGTGGCTGGGAAGGAGGAGTAGCTGCACTTCTGTTCTGTTCATTCATAAAAAATGGATTGTAGTTGGGAGTAGCAGCCACAATAGCTGGAGCTGAATGTGGTTCCTGAACTAAACATATCAGCTGTTTGCCTGCCGCATGCTGCGGATCAATGTGTCCATCACTTGAGCTGTGCACCAGTGTCCGGCCACCATTAAGCTGCACACCGTCTCCTGGGTGGTAGCTACTAGGAGAATGGATACCCAGGTTAATATGCAAAAGGCGATTTCTATTCATTCGGCTGTCATCTGGACTATGGTATTCCATATATAAGTATTTGCTACTCTCCTGGGAAAGGGCTCGGCAGCAGGCTTCAAGATTGTTGTTATTCTAGGGGGAGAAAATGGTAAAAGTAACATTGGCAAAATTAACAAATCCTAATAGTTTTGCCAGAGTTATACATATGTGACCATCATAAAATAACCAGAGAACAGTATTTTAAGCACCAAAAGCTTCATGGGCATCTATCCTGAAAAGGAGATCTCAAATGAGTCATATTATTTTACACTCAGCTCATATGACTAGTACTACTGCTACAGAAATGTAAAATATCTCCTAATGAACATTGTGGCTCAATCCCAACTTTTCTGACTCAAAACCCAGGACTCATTTTATACTTGTTGCATCTCAACAAATTAAAATGTTGGGCTAATCTTGGATTCACCACAACTGCTGCAATATGCAAGCATAAGTAATAAGTAATAGCCATCATTAATATTTAAACTGATAAACATGAAGATAATCATGCCTTAGTTTTCAAAAGGCACTGAAACCACAGGAGGAAAAAATAATAAAATTCTTAGTCAAAACAGTAAACATTAAAGCAGCCTTCACTTTTAACCAGTTATCCCTACGTAACTTCAACTGTCATCATTATGAACAATTAAGCTAAACAAAGAAATAAGTTTTTTTCAAAAGTCCACTTTTTCCATTATGGTTCCATGACTTTGCCAAAGTTATGTTAATTTAACATAAAACCAGGTCTCGACTGCCTTAATTTCATTCATTCACACTCCTAGTCTCAAGTTTTTACCCAATGAAAGGTAGCTTGGTAAACTTTCAAAGTCATTTAAGGATTTGAATTTTTTGAGACACACACACAGTAATAGGAAACTAACATTTTCAACATTCCAATCAACAGTAATCAAAGTAACAACAGGTTCTCTCTTTTTAAAAATTTAAGACATAAGGTAGTTGCCCATTAAAATACAGAATTCTGAACTATTTTATCAGCCTAAAACACTATTATTCATTGCCTTTCAAATACTCTATTAAAGTTTCTCAATTATCATGACCTTCTCTGCATTTCCTAGATATACATACAGATATGCACATATTGCCATGTATTTATTTTAAGGAAAAGTACATTTTATATAAAAAATGAAAGGAAACACTGCACTTCTGTCGAGAGCCAAATGAGGTTCAACTCAAAACAGTACATACAATACCACAATTTCAGAGCTGGGAGAACATCTACTCCAACACAACTCATTTACAGATAAGGAAAAAGACACCTGGGAAGTTACACAGCTTGACAACAAGCACTTAACCAATCAACTGGAGAGCCAGGTTTAGATTCTTGGTCTCCTGACTTCCAGCGCTCTTTCCACTATAACACGGGAATTTCAAGGGAGAGGACGTTAGGCCCAAAATACATTACTATTCTGAAAGCTTTAGGAAGTAAAAGAAGATTCAGTCAAGCAAACCCTTGCGAAATGAATTCTCAGGAATTTAAAGAATTGGTATTATCAAAATGCCATAGATAACTTTTATCTTTTTCCTTATGTAAAGCTTTTGATATGCAAATTCAAATAATTTTAAAAATACTTTTTGAGTCATAGAAAAAAAACATAATGTTGAAATTTAAGAAGAACATACTTAAAACTCAGTTTGTTTTTTTCTGATCCTTCTTGAAAATCATGTTGATCAAGGGAGAGAAGCTAGATATGTTAAGGAAATTTGGAGCCAAAGGATTCAAATTGATTGCCAAGTAGAAAATGTCACTGACAGACATCTGACGGAAAAAGTGAAAATAAAGTATCTCCTTCAAGCATTTTATTAACCTATGGATTAAGGACAGAACAAAAACTAGAGTTTTATTTGAAACCTAAAGCAGTTGTGGACACTTTATTTTACTATTTGACATTTTTATTAATGATCCTGAAATTTCTTGTTTTCTACATGAATTAAGTAGCCTAATTAGCATTGTCAGAAAAAGGATCCAAATTCAAAAGGATACAAAGTTGGATTTCTCAGCCTATTTCAAATGAATGTCTACAGTAACCAATTGAGTAAACTTTCATGAAAAAAAATTTAAAACCACAAATACAAGATATTTAAGCATTATCTTTATGGAAGTATTTTTAAAAGAATACCACCAGAATAGATTCAAATGTCATATCTGACCTGCGAAATGTCTTAAAAAAGAAAAAAAAGGTTAAAAAATTTATCAAACAGTAAATATGAAGAATAAAAAAATCAAAATTGTTTTTAGTTAGATAAAGAAGAGGTTAGAATTTCTATGAAGACATATATGAACACTCTTGAAAGGACTAGGAAAAAAAAAGCATCATACTCCTAAAAAGGGATCCTAAGACCTCTGTGTTAAATGCAAACTAATGAGTTTCAAACATTTTAATGCAAACCGAGAAAACTCTCCAGGCCCAGGAGGTGGTAAATTCCATACCGGTAAAAACTCTTAATCCCCAAGGAACAAAATAGTAAAAGACTAAGGACAATATAAATTATCAACAAATAAATGTTCACTGAGTTGAATTTACAGTTCCATCCCTTCAGTTTAGTAGTGAGATGAAGACACTAAGCCATGAAAAACTACAGGTCATAAAGGGCTAAATAAAATATTTAAAAAGAAAAGGTCAGAGTGAGGTGGTGCCCTAGGATAGGTGAGCAAGGTGATTGCTAGTAAGTGGTTTAAACCAGAGCCTCGCTTATGCTTGGTTTCACTCCAGTGGGAAGTACCTTCCCTTTACCAGAGACCAAAATGGGGGGCTGAAGTAAAGAGCAGAAATTCAGACTGAGAATATGTGTTAGAAAAGACAAGCTATAACACTAAAGTCATTAAGCCCAAAGGTCTAGACCTAGTAGAAGGGCTTGCAAACAAAGGAAGCACCTCTGTTACCACCACTGTTCTTTGAGTCTCTCTTTGTAATTAACCTCACATGGGTTTAGGTTATATACTGAGCGGCTCACACTGCAGTAAGGTAGAGCTTGCATATCATTCAGTAAGGTGGAATCTGAACTGATTGTGTGAGGAAGTCCAGTGGGCAAGACAAAAGTGCTGCTCCCCAAAAGTCAACCAAATAGGGAAATGCTATAACCCCAAACACACTGAAATCCTGTGAAGGATAATGTAAAACTCAACAGGGGAAATGTTAGGCCTCTTTCTCTGCTGCCTCTTGAGTGGAAAGATACGTTTTATGAGAGATGAAAGATTTATTTTAATAGAAGACAACAAAAGGAATGTGAATAAACTAAAAGTGACCTTACACTTAAATGCTTACTAATGTCTAATTTTATCAACTAGAAAAGCTAGTAAGAAAGGGAGTGGACTCTAAAAAGTTTAAAAAATAGGCTCTAAAGTACACCGTCTCAGAAGTTATAACAATCAATTTGAGATTCAAAATTCAATTGTAAGGATTTGAGGACTGATGACACAACCCAAACAATTTAAGAAGTGACATGTGAGGAGAATTTTTCCCTTTTTGCTCTAAATCAGTGGTTCTCGATGGGGTAAATTTTGCCTCCCATGGGACATTTGGCAATGTCTGGAGACATTTTTGGCTGGCACAGGTGCCCACGGGGATACTATTGGTATCTAGTGGGTGGGGGCCAGGATGCTGCTAAACATCCTACAGTGCACAAGGCAGAACTCCAAAACAAATGCTGATAGCACCAAGGTTGAGAAATCCTGCTCTAAACGCCACCCCTCACCATAAACAAGAAAATTTAACCAAGTTCTAGTCACCATAATAGAAAGCCAGATCTAAGATGGGAAACTGTAACTTAGTATAACTGTCTTTGGTGGGTAACTTACCTGTAACATGCACTGAGACACCACACCCTCTGGAATCTCAGGAAAACGTTGTCGGAGGTCATGGAGAACCTGCATATCAAGCTGCGAACTGCTTTGCGCCATGCCAAAGCAAATGGTGGTCAAGTTTTTCTCAGGAAATGAATGCTAACCGGCCTTCCAGTAGTAATGATCTTCCAACACCACAGTCATTTTCTATTAAAAGAACTAAAGTATGGTTAAATTTAATTACATATTTCACTTTATTCAAATATAAGCTATTAATATATTAAAATAGAACTAAAATAAGAATATCCAATTCCAAAGCCGGAAAATTGACAAATACAACTTAGCCAAAGACTTTTCCAATGTAATATAGCTAATCACTGGTTTAAAAACAAACAAACAAAAAAGCCAAACCGCACCCCACCTAAATTTCAGTTTCCTTTTAATGCTTAAAAAAAATAAGTGACAGCTAGATTAAAAATACAGAGTATTATTGTTTGGCAACCATATTTTTTCTAGCCTTGAGAAATACTACTTATGTATAAAAACTCATGTTTTCCCAAGGGCTATCTTATCACTCACTCCTCCAAAGCAGAGCAATTACTTTGATGTCTGAAATAATAAAATAAGAACTTGATAATATCAACACCACAAAGCGCACTTGTCCTGTCTGCCTTACATTCTCCCCGTACTTTGAAGCCAAAATGTTTGAATTTGAAGTCTGAGTATAAGAAACCCAATGTCTAAATGAAACAACTGGGCAAACAAAAAAGGAAATGTGGAATCCTTTGTTTTCAAAGATGACGCTGGTGGCCCATCATTAGCTAGACCTGTCTAGCTAGTTCTGATGCAATTGGCACAGGTGCTGAGATGACAGGATGTGGGAGTACAGTTTGAGCAATGGAAACTGACCCCCAATCTTACTGGCACTACTCAAGTTAAGCAGCCACATAAATAAGGCAAGTAGTGCAGTAATAATGAAATCATAAATCAGCTAGTAGTATCAAGGGTCAATTAACTGATTCATTTATTAATCAACACTTCTCATTTTTAAAAGGGAGAAAATCATACAGAGGATACCATACAATCTCATATTTCTGCTGTGTTCACTCATTATATGGTAAAAATATTTTTTAAGAATGAGAAGTAAATACCCGCATCTTCACAGGATTTATGGAAACCATGATTGTAAGATACACGTCTAAACCACACACAGAAGGGAGGGTCATCCCACACCAAATCTACTTCTTGTAAATAGGCCCCAGAACTTTAAATCATACCATTACTTGGGGCAATGCAGAGAACTACAGAGACTATTTTTAAAACAAAAACAAAAAGTATTTAAGGAAATATTGAATTAGTTTTGCTGGTTTATAATTAAGCAGATAATTTTAAAATACCGTGGCATCTCTCGTTATAGGTATGGAATTTCATTTTGCATGCAATCTGCAATCTGCTGACTTTTACTGGGCATCTAGCTGTCTCTCTTCTTCCTTCCAAGCTAAGACTGTGGAGAGTTATTTATGTACTGTGTGCGTGCGTGTACAAGGTGGCCACAAAGCCTCTCTCTATAAGACTCTGCCTAACCATAGGTAAAAAGAGCTATTAGGGGCTGCTGTAATGACTTCCAACCATCAACACGGAAGATATCTAAAAAACAGGAGGAAAAGGTAGAATGTGGGTGAAGAATACAGATAACTTCCAATGTGCACATATATAGGCCTTCTGGCTACCCTGTACTATTCTGCTCTTGGCAATTCATTCCTTTGTCTACTCTATCTGACTCATCTCAACTGTTCCACTGAAACACCCTCTCCCATCATATCTCTGCTGCTAAATCCAGATGATCTATCTTCTGGTCCCTATGCCCTTGACCTCTGAAGCATCTGACACTATTGATCATTCCTTCCCTTTTTCAGCCTGTGTGGCATCATAGTAGCCTGCTTTCTTCCCACCTCTCTTGTCACATTAACGTTTCCCTGGGTTTTCCCGTAAACTGCCTCTTATCATTGTACCTCTTTTTGCCCAGTGATCACACCCACTAGTAAGGTTTCAATAACATTTAAAGGCTGATAATTCCCAAATTGGTATATTAAGCCTCATACTCAAACTCCAGACATAGCCAACCGCGTACTACACAGCACCATATGGATATGTCCAAAGACATGTCAACATGTCCAAAAAGAATTCCTTACCACAAGCCTTCCCCAAATGCTGTTTTCTCCATGAATGTTATACTGCTCAGTCAACAAAACTAGAAACCATGGTGTGATCCTTGACTTCCTGTTCTTGTACAACCAAGTAAACAGTGTGAAATCAAGTGAATCATGGTTTGCACCCTAGTTCTGCCATTTAATAGTCTCTAGGCAAGAGACTCAATCCTTACACCATGAAGTTTCATCTGTAAAACGGAAATAACAGTAGGGTTGTAGAATTTATTTATTTTTTACTCACTCTTTTAATATAAAAAAATTTTTGAAGAATTTACATGGAAAACAGTCATAAGTCAAGAAGCATTAGTTAGTATTATTCAGAGCATGTCTGAATATTGTTCTCAACTTCCTGCTGCTCTCCCTGCCCCTGGTATTGCCTTCCTCCACATCATAGCCAGAATATTTATTTTCTAAGATGCAAATCTGATCACTCTGTATCCCAACCAAACACAACCATGTGTGATCGATCCTTTGCATGGATATTCCGTGCCACCTTTTCTCAGGACATTAGCCCATGATCATCTATTTGCTTGAGACGCTACCTTTCTCCCTCCCCCCTGCTTCTCCAAGCCGTTATCGATCCCATACATGTCAGTATTGGTAGCATCACCCACTGACACCCCTCTCCCCCCTTAGTCCTGCTGCCTTCATTGTGCTAGAGGGCTCTCCGCTATGGTACCACAGTGGGCTGTGCGTATCATCACAGGAGAACCAAACACACTATACTGAAGCCACCTGTTATCTGAAGGGTCTCGCATATAAAACTATAGCTCTACCCGGAACATATTGTTATGCCAGAGTGAGGAAGTACTCAAAAAGTGATGGGAGCTTGTCATAAGGATCTGTGAGTCAGCTTGAAGAGTCTCCCAATGGCCACATCTGTGCCAGTTTGAGCACCAAAATAATTAAGGCCAGTAATGAATTATAGGCCTGCAGAAAAGAGGAACCCATGACTCCTTATCAATAATAAATAGTTAAATACACACATACATAAATGGAGGAGAAGGGGGCTTTTGCTTATAGTAGAATCCAACTGGTAAACGTGCAGGGAGTGCTAGAGCTGGAAAAAATCATTTTGCAGCCATTATGCAGACTGCTTCAAGCAAGAATCAGTGGATACTAAATCTAAGGGGAAATTTGAATGAAGAGTACGATATATGAATGGTCTTAAAGGGTCTCCCCAAAGAACTGCTTATTTACAAAGGGGAAAAATTGATACAATGGATAAATTAAACATCTTGACTGGGTGATCAAAATTAACATCACCAATCAGCGGTAGATGGACAGCGTACACCTCCAGATGTGATAGTATCACTTTATAGTATTCCAGTCAGGAATGCATAACACCTGAAATTACTCATGAGGACATAAGACAAACCCCAAATGAGAAATGGCCTATTAAAAAAAGAAAGCGGGGGGCCGGCCGAGTGGCGCGATGGTTAAGAACTCACTTGGGATGCCAGAGGGCCCCGGTTCGGATCCCACATATGAGGGCCAGTGACACTGCCCTATACAACTAAGATGCTGAACAACAGCTCAACCTGGAGCTGGGCTGCCGTGAGTCGCCGGCGACGGCGTGGGCTGCAGTCCCTGTGGCAGTGGATTGCCACGGGCTACCGTGTGTGGCCAGCAGCCAGCGTGAGCGGCCAGCAGCCGCAGTGAGCAGCCGTCCAGAAGCCGGTGACTGATCTGCCTCGCCCGGGAAGAGCGCAATGATGGTGCCAACTTGGGCCAGTGAAGCAACGTCCTCCACAACTAGACTGAAGAACAAAACGACAGCAACTTGTCTGTTCCCCTTTCCCCAATTCCCCAGCACTGTTCCCATCCCCCCAATTCTCCAATAAAAATCTTAAAAAATATATATATATATATATATATAAAAAGAAAGCGGGGTAGGGGGTGAGAATGCCATCTTAAAAATGCCAATGTCATAAAAGACTAAAACCAGAAAAATATCACAGATTAAAGGAGACGGAGCCATGATAACTAAATCCTAGACTAGATCCTATACTAAATGGGAAAAATATTATAAAAGAAATGAATAGATCAATTGACAAAATTGAAATATGGATGGCATATTAGAAAAAATTCTATCAATGCTAAATTTATTGAATTTACTAAATTTACTGACTTGTTAACTGCTGTGGTTATATACAAGAATATCATTTTTAGAAATTAGGCAATGAAGCATTTAGGGGTAAAGGGCATCATGTATGCAACTTACTCAAATGGTTCAGGAAAATATATATATCATATATGTATATGTTTGCATACACACACACAGAAAGGAAACAAATTACAAAGCAAATGGGAAAAATGTTAACAATAGATGAATCTAGGTAAAGGGTATACAGTGTCCTTTGTGCTATTTTTATTCTTGCAATAGAATTTTGGAAACTTTCTGTAAGCAAAACTAAAAGCAAACAAAAAGCCCTAGGTCTATTCAGGTGCTATGCCTTCTTAATCCCTGCATTTCCAGATCCTTACGTAGTACCTCCTCAAATGTTTGTTAAGTGACGAAGAATCAATTTTACTATACTAAATCAATCTAGCTAACAAGATTAAAATATAAATATATATACACGCATACAGAGGGTGCCAAAAAATTGTATACACATTTTAAGAAAGGAAAACTGTATTAAAATTCTAATACTCAATATACACCAATAACAAAAGATGAATACAAGTCATGTTTGACTTCTGCAATTACAAGAGGTGCTCAAAGTGGTTTCCATCAGCGCCCAGAAGATTTTTATTGGGGAATTGGGGGAAGGGGAACAGTCAAGTTGTTGTCGTTTTGTTCTTCAGTCTAGTTGTGGAGGACGTTGCTTCACTGGCCCAAGTTGGGACCATCATTGTGCTCTTCCTGGGCGAGGCAAATCAGTCGCCGGCTTCTGGACGGCCGCTCACTGCAGCTGCTGGCTACACACGGTAGCCCATGGCAACCCACTGCAGCAGGGGCTGCAGCCTAGTCCTAGGCAGCTCACGGCAGCCCAGCTCCAGGTTGAG